TCTTTTTTAAGATAACTATTAGGTGGCTGGTCACATGAGAGGATAGTTTTGAAAAAAATGATATAGCGAATATAAAAGTATGTATGGCAAACTCAAACACTCTACCTGGAATTCTAAAGATATACTGCTTTTTAAATATATTGTGATTTTATCGTTGAACTAAATTTTACGTAAGGGAGATGAATGTGATATCTACTTAATTAATAAATTAAACACATAAAAAGTAATAATGAAAAGACACATACACATACACACACACACACAAGAAAAAAAAGGTAGCCATCTTGTTGTAAAAAGTGAATATTGATATAATGAACTGGGAAAAAACTGAAACGAATTTAAAAATGTACGCCAACACTTAACGCTGCATCGGGTGTTCTAAACATGTGCTGCTTTTCAGCTTTTAAAAAATTTTGTGATTTTTGGTGTTGAACTGTATGTGGCGTAAATGCGAAGAAAACGATGCTTAATAATAAAGCTACGAACAAAAAAGACAAAAAATAAGTTCGGTTAGCAGGAGTGCGACGGCAGACTAGTAGACTACGCGCTCAGCGCGAGAGCGTAAAAAACCCTTCTGGATGGCCTTTAAAATCTAAAACCTTTATTTTATTTTATTTTGTTTTATTTATTTTATTTATTATTATTATTATTATTATTATTATTTTATTATTATTATTATTATTATTTATTATAGTGTCTAAATTTTGGGGGCTGGGCTTTTTGCATAGGGGCCCAACAGTTCTACGCTACTAATGCATACTTTTGAGAAGTAATATGAATGGAGGTGTTACTTAGATAATGTGTAAGTAATTAATTGAGCTCCAATTTGAATGGCCTTGATACTGGAAGATGCTAAGCCAAGGTGAAAGTAGCACTTTCATTGGGACCAGAATGAATTAATGTGATAACAATATGGACATTTATTTCTTAAGTTGAATATGGGAAAGCGCGTGACTTTTTGATTAGTGCAGGGTTTCTTAAACTTTTTGGGTGTGGGGACCCTCTAATATTTACGAACATTTTGCGGGACCCCATAATGCGCAAATCCGACACACGCGTGAGTGAAACTATCAGTTTCTTCACGTGTACTGTAATATGCAATTGCAGTTTTAGGTCATTGACTTTAATTTTTAAAGTAAAATGAAAGTTTCTTATAAAAAAAAAAATGCTTCGAGACATTTTCGGTTTTTCTTTTTCTGTATTGTCTTATCTTTATGTATTTTCAGGTACATTTTTTAAAAGTATTTGGTAATTGTAAAATTATTATAATAAGTTAAAGATATACCAAACCTGCTAAATTTTTCGCGACCCACAGTTTAAGAAACTCTGGATTAGTGGAAGAAAGAAATCTTTAATCACAGTTTTCTAAAGAAAGCAGACTTATGTTCACATTACACATAGAAGGGAATCACGAAAAGCCAACCCTTTCGCTGGAATTCGAACTTCAGTTAAACTACTAGTGTCCCATGATTTTACCTACTCGGCCAATCGTGGGTTATGGATTTAAATTTATTAATAGTTTTGAAGATAAGACATCATTACTATACCCGGGCGAAGATATTCAGGGAAAGACGTGCACTTTGAAACTAAAGGTAAGTCTTTCTAAATGAGCTTTCTATTGACAGTAATTGATGGCGGGATTGCACTGCGTGGTAAAAGACCAAGGTGGATGCACTAGATGATGATGTTGTTTCGTTTGATAGACTCTGGTATAAAATTTAAAACTGTTATTCCTAATAGTTGAAATATAGCTTAAAGAGATTAATAGGCCCTTAATTTTAAGTTAAAAACACAAACTGTTTTTGAACCATGTTTAAGTTCTTTACGTCATCGTGTGTGTGTGATTATGGCAAAGCCGCGAGGGCTATCTGCCTAAGGGGAGGGATGCCTTCGTGGAGGACTTTCTAAGGGAAACTGGCTCGTATACACTTTACACATGGGGAAAACCACGAAAACGTCCGTGCAGCCAGCCCGTTCGCGGGATTCGAACCTCGAACCGAACTACCAGTGTTCAGCGACTTTACCGCTCGGCCGCTGGTGGGCCTTTACGTCATCGAAAAGATTGTGGTGAAAGAAAACGATTTTTGTTGGACCCTATTCAAGAACATTGAAAGCTCACGATCAAAAAACAGAAAAGTGGCTAGAATTCTAGAAAAAATATATTATGATGTAAATAATCCAGCAGCATTTGGGGGTGTATTACGTCTTTCAAAAACGAGTGGCATTCCCATAAAAAAAGACTAAAGAATGGTTAATGACACAAGACACTTATACACTCCATAAACCGATAAGATACAAGTTTAAGAGAACAGTTTTATCTTTTGGAATTGGTGAACTGATCCAGTGTGATTTAGTCGACATGTCAAAAGTATCTAGATACAATAAAGGTGTAAAATATCTTTTTTAACTGCGATAGATGTTTTCTCAAAAATATGGCTATGCGATACCAATAAAATCTAAAAATGCTGATGCACTCGTTGAAGCTTTTAAAAAATTATTTAAGCAATTAAAGACAATAGTAAACTTGCAAACTGACGAAGGGAAAGAATTCTATAATAAAAAAGTACAAGCGTTACTCAAAAAGAATAAGATACACCATTATTCCTCATATAGTGAGCATAAAGCTAGTGTTGTAGAAAGATTTAATCGTACTCTAAAATCTAAATTATATCGCATATTTACACATCGAAATTCCTATAAATATTTAGACATCTTAAAATCTGTTTTAAAAAGTTATAATGAAAGTGTGCACCGCAGTACCGGCTTTGCTCCCGCTGCAGTCACGTCTGAACTGGAACCTGAAATTTTTAAAAAATTATACAATTTTCAAATAGAGTCAGAATATAAGTTCAATATTGGTGATCAAGTGAGAATTTCGAAAGCAAAGAAGACATTTCGTCGTGGATATTTACCTAATTGGACTGATGAAATATTTACCATAGTTAAACGATATCCTTCGAATCCTCCTACATATGTGTTGAAAGATTTGAAAGAAGAAATTTTAAAAGGAAGGTTCTATGAGGAAGAGCTTCAGAAAGTGAACAAGCGATCAAGTGATTTTTGGCGAATAGAAAAGATTCTGAAAACAAAAGGAACAGGAGAAAACAAATAAAGAATTCTATGTGAAGTGGAAAGAATTTGATCATCGTTTTAATTCTTGGGTAAAAGCATCATGGATGAAGCAGTAACTGATTTTTATGTTACCTTACCAAGCAATTCCAGCATAAAATATTTCCCACAAAACACTCAATCTTCATATCGTACCAAACTCTGCAAACCTCTTATTTTTAATGATAATAATTATGTTGTAGGACTTTCTGAGATATTCATTCCGCGAAATTGGTTTAACATTGGTGATCATAACAACAAATATTCTGTTTCTTTTAGAAAAGAGGAAAGCATAGTAATGGAAAATATACAATATGACATATCTTTAATGTGTGAATCAAAAGATAGTCTTGAGAATTTTTTGTTAAAAGTGAATGGAGAAACTGAAAAGACACATAGTGTGAACTCGAATGTAAGATTTGCTTCCGATGGAGACAGAAAAAATCGGATTACAATCGAAGTCAAAGAAGGATTTGAAGTCCGTTTAAAGATATAATTATAAAAAAGAATCAGACTTTCAGGTTTAGACCGACAGTTCAGAGACAAATGCAACAAACATTTACAATCATAAATAAAAATCCTAAAAATATAATTTCGCATATAATACCAGCAACATCTATCAAGCGTGGTGTAAATAATGAAAAAGACGCTTACAGCATCATAAATGAAAATATCGAATTATTGGGGCTTCAGAATTATGTTAAGTTTTTATATGAACCAATAAAAAAAGAAGTGGAAAAAGTGGAAATTAAATTTTCAGATTATGTCGAATTGGTATTGAAAAAAAGCAACGATAATTCACTAATGCAAAATCTAAATTTGAATCATGATACAGTCATAAAAGGAACTCAACGATTCGCTTGCAACCCGTTGATTTTAATAGCAGAGAGAGAACAAATGGAGTTAATTATAAAAGAATATCATCAAACAAAAAGGACAGAAATGCAAACTGAACATCTATCAGTGAATGTGTGGGAATGTATAAAAATGCATTAAAATTATTCGAAGAATTTAAATACATTCGATTGCAACAGCTACCGAACCAAAAGGTTGCTTTAAACGTTCCTTCCGAACATGAAGTAAATTTCGGAAAAGGTCTGGCAGACATGTTAGGATTTAATGTCTTGCATTTTAAGGCTGGAAATTATATCAGTAATTATCCACTAGAGTTGGATGCTGGAATAACTGAAATATTTGTTTACACAGATTTAATACATCCACATCATGTTGGAGATTCTTACTCACCTCTTCTTCGAGTTATACCATGTATGAATGAAAAGGAAGAACAAGTAGTGAAAAACACTATCATAAACCGCTTTATTTCCCGATCAGAAAGAATTTTGTTGACACAATTGAAATTGAATTAAAAACAAGTAGTGGTAATAATATAATATTTACTGGTGGAAAAACGTTTGTAGTGTTGTCCTTTAAAAAACGAAACACTCTATAAATTAAATAGTTTGAGCACAATTTTGTCATTCTTTGTTTCCGAAACGAAACAACATGCATTTGAGCGCAAAAGAGTGCGAATTTTATTACTGTTCCCAGGTTGGTGGAGGAGGTCCCTACTTTCAAGGTATAGCACATCAACGAGGTTATGGAATTTTTGGAGATTTGAGGCGATATATTACTCCATTGGCATTAAAAGCTTCACGCTATTTAGGCAGGCATTTGCTACAAACTGGAAAAAATGTCCTTTCAGACGTCGCATCTGGTGCTTCTCTAAAAGACTCGGCGCGCTCTAGATTACGTGAGACAACAAAAAAAAATAAAAGATGATATTTTTAACAAATTACAACATGGAAAGGGTATAAAAAGAAAGCGAAACAAAAAATCTACTCAGTCTACTAAAACAAAACGTCGAAAAACACAGCATAAAGATATTTTTCACGATGGAATCCATGTGCTTAAAAAGTGAACTGGATCTTTTTACATCTTCACCAACACAACTTGCCATTGAAGAATCCTCATTTTTAGAAATTCATCCTGTGGCTTCGCTGAATGATAAAACTCCGATAGAGTTTTATATAAGTGGAAATGGAGAGCATTATCTAGATTTGGCACATACTCTTATACATATACAGGCAAAGATTGTGAAAAAAAACGGACACGATTTAACAGAAACAGATGATGTTGCTCCGATCAATTATTTCCTAAACACTATGTTTTCCGAGTGCAGTGTTTACCTCAATGACAGACAAATTTCTTCACAGGGAAATTACGCATATCGTTCAATCCTCGAAAGCCTTTTATTTTCTTCTAAATCTAGCCAAGAGAATATGTTAACATCCTCATTGTTTTATAAAGATACGGCATCACAACATAATGTATTTGGCAAAAATTCAACCAACTCAGGATACAAGAAGCGACACGAAATTTGTGCTAAAAGCAATTTAATGGATTTAATAGGACCTCTTCATTTTGATTTAGCTACTCAGCCGAAGCTACTGATTAACGGTGTTAATGTGCGCATCAAATTAGAACAAAACAAAGACATTTTTTCTTTGATGTCCAAAGACGACGAATTTAAAACTGTGATTCATTCTGCAAAATTATACGTTCGTAAGGTAAACGTCTCACCTTCCGTTTTTCTGGCGCATGAAAAAGCGTTAGAAAGTGGCGTGATTAAAATGCCAATACGTCGAATAGAAGTTAAGACCTTTGCTCTATCATATGGACTACAATCGACAACAATAGCGAATGCATTTATTGGGCAGCTACCAACGCGCATCATTTTAGGTTTTTTTATCAAATGAAGCATATAACGGGAATGTTTCAAAAAATCCTTTTCAATTTTCTCATTATAATTTAAATTATCTCTGTATATTAAATGGGAGTCAAATGATTCCTTCTAAGCCTCTCCAACCTGATTTTCAACAGGATTGTTATGCAAGATGTTATATGAATCTTTTTACTGATTTAAACCGTTACCATAATTTTCAGAATATTAACATTAATTATGAGGAATATAAAAATGGATATACGCTTTATGTTTTTGATTTGACTCCTGATTATGCGGCAAGTGAATCACATACAAGCGTGAATAAAAATGGAAATATCGGAATCGATATAAAGTTTTCCCATAGTTTACCAGAGACAGTCACTTTATTGGCATTTGCAGAATATCGTAATGTCATAGAGATTGATAAATCTCGAAGTGTATTTACGGATTACTAAAAAAAAAAAAAATATCTTGTGGCGAAAGGAGAAATGAATACGATAAGTTTGTGTAGATTAGCTTGTAGTGATTTAAAAATCAAGGAACATTTTGGCGGAGTATATGCATCGGATATTTTACCTAAAGTAAAAAATCAATTTAGAAGCTTTATAGTGAATTTAGATCCTCAAAATCTACCGGGCAGTCACTGGGTTGCTATTTATTTTAGAAACGGTGAAGCGTATTATTTCGACAGCTATGGATTACCTCCATCAAACAAAAAACATCCTGCGATTTTTGAATCAAAATTCTCAAAAAGTATTTTATAACAAGTTTTGCTTTCAGAATAATTTTTCTTCCTCGTGCGGTTACTTTACGCTTTATTTTTTATATCAGTATTCAAGAAATTTGACATTAAAGGATCTTAACAAAAGAAATACAAGAAGAAATGAAAAATTTATCAAACTATTCGTGAAGAAAAATTTTTAAACTGAATAGATGTTGCCACCACACATTTCATTGGGGAAATCAACGTTGTACTGCGCTTATATATATGAGCAAAGCCACCAAACATTAGTTCATCGACGAAACATGGAACGTTACGGATATCTGTTGTTTGATTCCAATGGCACAGAATATTATTATGTGCATAATGTTTTATTTAAAGATATTACTAGCTGTATCAGGAATTCAATTGAAAATGAAATGATTGGAAAACGATGATGCTATTTTAAAATTTTGAACAATTCGGAAGTGATGAATCACATTCATGCTCATTCGAAAGCAAATGAATATGGATATTTACTACTACAACTCTCCTGCGATAAAATGTTATTGCATGACTCATCACTAAATTTGTTTAACAATTTATTTGACTGTGTGATGATGGGGAAACAAAATATACGCGGCGGTGAAGATGTTCCAGATACAGTTCCTTGCACTAAAAAGAAGATTGGATACTTCATCATCCTTCCCGACGACGAAGTTATTCGGGAACTTCATTTGTAAACAATTATTATGTTAAAAAAAAAAACTATGTAATCTCTTTTTTTCTGCAATAAATAAAAAAAAGTATATTTAACAAAACATGTTTTTTACTCACTCTTATTTTATAATCACACAGACTAGATATTTTTTAAAAATATACAAATTATACTATAAGTTTCATACCATATCTTTTTCCCTCTGTCTGGCATACTCACGTTAAAAAGCATCTGATATATTTCGACAGATTGCTCTTCATCGTGAATATGCAAGCCCTTGAGGGGCTTGCCATTTTTTTTTTTTTTTTTTACATTTTTTTTAATCGTAAAAACTAGTTTACATGAAAAAAAGTAACTATACAAATCAAAATACATAATAACAGAATATGAATAACATAAAATAACATGAAAAAACATAGCATTCAAAAAAATATACATACAAAAAATTATTAAAAAAAACATATTGTGTGTGTAGCCTGTTTTTCACTGGAGTGGATAAAATCCATTGACAAATATGTTGATTAGTTCTTTCGTAGTGAGATTCTTTCTTTTACATGATGTAAGAAATTCGGGGTCGAATAATCGACGTGGAACAACATTTCGTTTTTTTATATTCTAAGTAGAGGAAAAAAAATACATGAAACAGTTTTTTCAATTTTCTTGAAATGACTGCTGTTTATATAAAAATAATTACATATTAAAATGTGTTTTCTATACATTCATCTTCTAAAAGCAGATTTTTATGATGACCATAGCAATTGGCATTTATGCCGTCTGCTTTTAAGAACTTCTTGTCGTAAAATGGCGACAATCCTACTTTGTTTTGAAGAACAGTGCATATATCATGCTTTTTGGAAGTAATTGTATATTGATACTGTCTCATTAATGTTTCATCATACAAAATCTTTTTATATGACTCAATGGTCAGATCTGCGACACTAGCTTTTTTAATTCCTTTTAACTTTTTTTTACATGTATTTCCGAAAGAGAATGCATACATTTTGCACTTTAACCCCACAAATTCTTTGATGGGTAAATTGTTTTCATTTTTCAAAAACCCTAATTTGCCTTTATTATTTATACTGTACATAAAATGATGTTTTTCGAAATTACTACAATCTAAAATTTCATTGAAATACTTTTTCATGTCATTAAAAATATCGTGAGTTTCAATATTCATATATAATGAGTCAGTATCAGTATAAATCAATTCGCATTTATCATTGTACACTCTCTTAAAATACTTATAATATAAATTATACATATGCAATTTCGACAATTCTAACACAGTGAAACCCACATACATAAATTGGTTTATCTAAACACAATTTTTTTTTCATTTTATATAATGATAAATTTTTCATTTATCACTTCAAAATAATCCAGTAAGGGACTTTGCAAGTATTTTTTGCTCTGAATTTCATTTAAGGCCGCTTTAACATTAACACGCTTTCTTACGTTTTGACATGTTTTGCCATAAAAACTATTATTCATTTTTTTAAAGAAAGATTTTTCAAAATCATTTTCGGATGCCGTTCTTTTATCGTTATTAAAAGCTATATAGCTTTCTAACCATTTGCATTGGGAAAAAGCCAAAATCTTATGTATCTTTTGTAGAACAAGTCCTTGTTCAAGATAAAATTTTAAGTTTAAATAATGACATATATAATTTTTCTTTTCGAAAAAATTCGGTGTCAATTTTTTGCAGGGTAAAACACTTTTCATGTTTAATTTGTCGCACATCTTTTTCGCATATGGAGACAACATGTCATATGTTATTGTTAAATGTTCTGGGGCCAACGGAAAATCATTGTGGATATCATGCAATTCAGGTGGATATAGGAGATCTACCTCTAAAATATATCCAACGCTTGAATTAGGATCGATGTTCAAAATATCGAAATGTCGTACTTCGTCAGTCGTCAACCATGTGAAATGTCCATATGGTAGCGACTGACTCATGACATATCCATACAAATTGTTAGCATCAAGTGCTAAAATATAATTATGGGGTTTGTATGGGTCATAATCTGAAGAAGTATACGGATTATTAGCCACTACATGTCGCTTGCCTAATAAACAAATCCCCCCACGCATTTGTGATTCTATCCACATGTAATCGTTGGCATTGCTGAATAGCTGTAATTCTACTTTTGTATATTTCAATCCCGCATTCCATGTGAGATCCGCTCCTGTCACGAAATGGAGGGGATCCAAATTATAGTACGTCATGGACATTCGGCGAAAGGCCGAAAATATTTCGGCTAGTAGAACAGTATCAACATTTTGATAAAGCTCTAAATAATCTCCTATTGTTTCACAGTGAAATGTTTTGTACACGAGTTGTGCATGTTCATATTCATCATCATATGGTTATTTGTTAAAATATTAAAAAAAAGCACTTTTATCTGGTAAGCAGGTTTCCTTTAAAACCGCTTCTGAATCCAGATAACTGTATGGGAATACTCCTTTCCTCAGCAGTAAAAATCTGTTTGTTTCATCTTTGAAAAAACTATTAAAAATCTCGAACTTGTGTTCGGACTTTTTTAAGTTCTCAACTAATGTATCTAGCGAAGCGTCTAAAAATTGATAAGAATCCAAAAATTTGATTTCGTCTAGAGTAAACATAGTAAATTTTTCCAAATTTACTGGTGTGATATTAATGCATTTGAAAACATCTTTCGGCATATTTCGTAAAATTAAATGGGAATCGTAATTACGCGCATTATGTATTACCACTGGAATAAAATATGTACATCTATAATTTAGATTGCATGTCTGGTGTGCTAATCCGCGTATATGTCCATCGCTCCAGTGGCAGTGATCTCGAACACGTATCTCGTTTGGTAAAAATTGCTTTTGACATATGTGACAACAGTTTCTGTCATAAGTTTCAGAGCTTTCCACCATCGGTAGAATCCTTTTCATTTTCTGTAACAATTTATGTGATAGGTATTTCAAAGTTTTTAGAAAGTTATTAATGACATTATTTCCGGAGTAGTATTCCGTAAATATTATTTCATCGTTAATGTTTGTGACAAGAATTGCATAGCTGATAGGTTCGTGGTGTTCTACTGCTACTGAAAAACTCTGAAACTCAGACGGAAAAGCTGAAGAAACTTTTCTAGTGAGAGACTCGAAATCCGCAAAAATGCAAAAATGGATGATATAATTGTTTAGACAAGTCAGTGAATTTAACTACTAAATTTTGAGGGATGCTTACTTTCTGAGGTTCTTTGCCTTCGCACAATTTTATGTGGGTTTCTAAACTGCATTTTCGCTGAAACCCTAACAAACAGTTTTTTTACAATAGTGATGAATACCTTTACGAACATTTAATAATCTATTTAAGTTTGTGATTAAAAAAAAATGATTTTCAAAAAAAAGTAAATCAATTTCTTTCATTAAGTCGATATTTTTTTGTTTGCTTATACTTAAAGGAAAGATTTCATTTTCTTCAAACGCAAATACATTAATTTTTAAATCATTTAACTTTTCAAATTTTTGAATTCCACTTAAGGAAATCGGAAATTTTATCCCGCTAATTTTAAGACATCTCAAATATTTTTTATAATAATTTAACGTGTTTTTATTCTGTTTCCTTGGATATAGTTTT